TTTCCTGTGGAGAGTTTTGCCCAAAAGCCAGAGGGGAATTACCAGTTATCCATTCAAATGGTTCTGTGCCAGACCAATCAACATAAGGGATGTGGACCAAGTCCTGGCTTTTCAGGACATTGAACAATCTGCAGGTATGGAAGTGTGACTTTGTTTAAAGGTTTCTGTTGGGGAATCATTTTCCCTGGTGATTAATAGTGTTCCTGTGACTCAAACCCATGGTGATGTCAAGATCTACCTGTGTCCATCCCAGTTACCAGAAATGTAATGCAAAAGGAGAGTTAAGCCTAGAGTTTCATGGAAAAGGGCTGACTACAAGGTTTAATGCATTAATCACAACAGTTTAAAGGACTGAGATTGTGTGGAACAGAAATTTGTCATAAGAGAGAGGCACCACAGTGATGTCCACACCTTTGTGATGTCATCACAGATGATTTCTCTCTCCTTGACCTTTTGAGGGAGCCTCAAGCTCTGCTCTAGAGACCAGACCACACACATTAATACTTTCCTAATCAACACTTGCATTGGGGTCATTCTGCAAACAGCATTTCTTCAATTTCCTTCCCAAATTTGTGTCAGAATGAATGGAAAGACTTGGTACACCTTGAAGATGTCCCTTGGAATGTGACTGAGCTTGCACTTGGACCATGCCTTCCTCAGTGCTAGTGCAGGATGCAGCATTCCCCCAAATCCCAATCCTTTTATCTTATCACAATGAAGAAGGTGGCACTACCAAGAGTTCACAGAGGAAAGGCAGTATTGAAATAATAAATATTCTAACATTTTCTGCCTTCCCTGTTCTGTTGTGACTGCAGAGGTCTAAGATGGACAACCTTTTTCATTTTCCCCCATCCTTCAGTATTTTGATATTCTAACTCTCTTTTCTTTGGGAACATGAAGCTCTTTACTTACTTTCACCCACAGAAAAAACATGTTGGAATTAGTGCTGGAATTTGGGCTGGGGAGGTAAAACTTGGCCTTTCAGCAGACGTGGCTCCACACTGAAGGAGGATGGGGACCAGGCACTGAATGGAGGAGCAGCCCTTTGCATGGAGTGGTGCTGGAGAGACCCTGGCTCGCAGGGAGAGGGGTGGGCACAAGAAATCCAGGGCCAATGCCAATTCTGAGAGAGTGGCCTCTCTACAGCATCTACTTTTCCTTGTTGTGCATCTTAACCCATTTACATATCACATGGTCTTGTAATCACAGGCCTGTAATTCAAGCCATATCTGTTCTAATTGCCTCTGGCTTTCCTGCCACTTGGCACATGTACAAAATGAGGCAAAAAAAGCTTTTATGGGAGTAAAATTCTCCAAAGAATCACTGATATACAAAACAGACCATATACTTGTGGGGGGAATGTGAAAGTTGCTTTGCTCATGGGTTGTTATGTGATATTAGCTTATTATTATGCATCCCAGGAATGGGTGGAAAACTATTTTGCTTCTCAGAGTTTCTCCTTTGCTGTGGTACATCAATCTTACAGCTACTACATCTTAGTACTTACAAAGGAGATGAGACAGCACATTTGCCACAAATGAAATGAATTGTAGAAGTTCCATGACAAAAAATCTGACCACACTTCCCTGGATGCTGGCACAAGGTTTGGGTGTTGACTTCTCCCAGGGGTGACATGTTCCAGAGCTGATTTCATACCTTGCACCAGCATTTGGGCATCACCTACCTGGCACTAAAGAACTTTATCTAACCAAACTACCCAATTTCTGAAGAACTGTCATGGGGAAGGTCTGCAGGGTGGCAAATCACAGGGAGAACAAGGTCCCATGCCAACTGCTCCAGCCCTCTCGGCATGGGGAGGTTTGGGGCTGGAGCCAAGTCCTCGCAGGCACACAGTCCTTTCGCCACTCCAAGGCACGAGCAGATGGAGAAGCACAGCCCTTTCCCAGCCCCTTATATGGAACAGATTTCAGTAAAGGAGATAATCCAGCCCGAAGGGGTTACACAGATAATACCCAGCAGGCACGATGGAGACACGCTCTGTGAAATCCCTTATATGGCAGAGCTCCATGGGCTCAGATCTCCCAAATATCTGGTGCACAAGGCAGCTCTGTAAGGGGTCAGAGAGCAGGCAGAAAGCCCCGCTGCAGTCACAGAGCTCATCTTCCAACCACTCCCTTTAAAAGCTGATCTCAGAGCAGTGTGGCCTCTCTGCCTCCTGTAATCACCTTTTGGAGGGGATTAATCTCATTTCAGTTAAGGTGTCTACCATGCAGGCACCTGCAGAAACGCTGCAAACTCTCTCTGAGGTGACTATAGAGACAGGGGCACTTCTAGCACTGATTTTCTGTCCTGGTTGGAGCCAGATCGTGGAGACCATGAAGTGTTTCACTCCCCTCTGGCTGTACCACTTGGTGTCCCCACCAGAACCAGACATTCTCACCTAGACAAACAAACCTGTCAGTTGCATGTGAAACCTCACACATCCTTAGATACCTTTTTCCCACCCCCACTTCAGAAATAATTACTAAACCATTTTTTTTGTTTGTTTGTTTTAATAAATACGTTCTTTCATCTTCAAGTAGATGAAAATCACTTTGTGTGGGTACTCCAGAACAAAATGACATGTTGTTAAGGCAGTTCATGAATGTTGTTTGTATCCAGAAAACTAAGCTTCTTGAAAGATTTTTTAAATAAATATGAACTATTCTTTCCAAGTCAAGAACTTGTAAATTTGTGACGGAATTCCAGCCTTGCCAGACTCAACTCAAAGCATCTATTTTGCATATGAAAGCAAAAAAATACCAAGTGACTGGTTGCTACATTTCCTGACATACATCTCTTTTTGAACTTTACTATAGTCACTGTGCAGCTGAAGAGCAGATCTGGATATATCCAGCCTCACAAAGCCCATGGTGCTCCTCCAAAGGATCTTCTTCATAAACCAGACTCAGAGGGCCCAGTGCCAATTTCCCAGCAGGGAGATTCTCCTCTTCCCAGGAGAGGAATGCACATTTCTCCATGATCCCCATTCCTTCATGACTATAACCTCTACCTTGGTGCTCATGCATCGACATGAAATATGTCAGAGGGTGCTGTGGAAGGATATCTTAGGAACAGATAATTTTGGAGTGGAATCAGGACTTGTATGGTCAGTTTTGCAAAAAAAAAAAGCGTCAGAATATCAGCTGGGATATTGATAAACCAAAGTTTCTTCTGACAGTGGAGGCAGTCTCCTTTTGAGCCTCTGGAAAGCTTATGCCAGCATGAAATATTTTACATCATTTTTTCCCATTTAATTGATAATTACAGGTATGGTGCTCTATGTGTAATGAAAAACCTGAACTGCTCTGAAGTTTCTGAAATTCCCAGGCTGAATTTTTCTTCTGGAGGGTGTCCTATAATAGAAAAGGAGCCAATCCTTTGAGTCTCTGACCCATAGGGGAGAGTAGGAGGGAACCTAGGTACTGACTTATTCCTGTCTGAAATTTCTGAAAGGGAAAAAAAATGCTGGGAAATCTCAGAACAGCTTCATAAGCGGTTTGCCTTATTCCTCTCCTAATTGCATAATTTCCTGCTCACAAAATGTGTGTTTTTCACAAGCTTGGAGGAATAGGGTCTACCCTGCTGCAGCTTGTGTTCCTTGAGCTGTTCAGGTGTCCTTGCTCTCCGCTCTGCCATGGCTGCCTAGCAACTCCGTGGGATGAACAAGCTCCATTTCATTTAGGTGTTAAATAATCTGAAGTGCAGTGATTTTTTTTTTTCCTTGCACAAACATCAGAGGACTTAATAACAACAGCAACCAAACACAGCACCGGCGTAATGGTGATATCCTAACATAATGGAGCAAACTGAAACCTGGTATTTTTGAAACTCTGGCTTGAGAGGTTTCTTAAAAAGCACATATCTACAAAAATGAGTGAATTATTTTATGAATCTTGCATTGGTAAATGTGGATGAGTAAAGTACTCATCCCAGGTGTGCTCATTTAGGGCTTCATGAACTATCCAAATAAATGTAAATGTTTAAGTTTGGCAGATTTGGAGTTTCCCCTCACTGTTGTGTCTCATTCCTGTGTGGAAGGGAAGACACAAGAACGGTAGATGTTTGTTGTTGAAAAGAATGGCAAAAACCAAAATGGTTTTATTAGCAAACTATGCATTCAGCATGGAAATTTGTAAATTTTGCCCCTATCCTCTAATAATAAGAGGGATAAAAGTATAAATGAAAAGAGGGAAGAAAGAGGCAGTGAAAGGGAGATCAGGTAGGAGAGGAAAGAGATGACAAGTCCTGGTTCCAGCACTGATCCAGCCAACAGGGTGTCCAGGGTCCTGAGAGCACTGCCCAGGTTTTGTGGGGGTACCTTTTCACAGGTGAGGTTTCCCAGCTCTGGGATCAGGTTTCTCACTTCTCATGCAAATGCAAATGCAAAAGCAAATGCAGTCCATTCCCCTGGATCTTTCTGGAAATGGGTCAGAGGACTTTGAGGGTCTTTGATGACCTTAATGCCCCTCTACTTGTCTTTTCCACTTGATCCCATTCCTGTGCTTGTGTGGTCTCCGTGGACCAAGCTGGTCCCAAGGGAAATGCTGTCCTATTTCTTCACAGGCCCCTTCTCCAGCTTTCAGAGTTTGAGACATGGCAGTGCATTCACTCCTTCTTCCACAGGTACCTACACTTAAACCAGCAATTCTTGCTGCAAAGTGTTTGGCTTTGACTTGTTAAAATTTGATTTGAGATTGTTAATTTTAATTTGAGATCAGAATAAAAATAGGCTTTGGGGGAGAAAGAAAATAAAGAAAATACCCAACATTGTTCCTGCATGGGAGGTGTTTGTGCTGCAGAGTCCTACCTGGGATGGGCAGAATCTGGCAGGTAGAGATGAGGGGCAGGAATGAAATAAAATGTTATAAAAACCAAATCCATTGTGGTGCATGAGCATTTCATGCTCCTGAATAGAGATGTAATGCTGGTGGTTCAGATGGTGCAGGGAAGGAGTCAAGATTGAACTTTTCTGTAATATATTGTGATGAAGATAGGAGACTCATCTTGTGAGGCTCGTGGGTGGCTTCTTCTGCTCCCACTGAGAAGAGCAACAATTTGCTTAAAGGTCACGGTTGTGGAAGGCAGTGGGAATGCAGGCTAAGGTGGATGCTATCCTGAGACATTAATCCTGAAATTAATGAAGTTTCTACAGCAACCTGAGACGGTGCCTGTGTTCAGGGGGATTGTAATGGGCAAGTAATTTCAGAGGTGTAGAGAACCAGGAGTGCTGTGGGAGAAATGAGAGTGCCAGCATCACAATTCAACCCCAGTGGGTAGCTCAGCCCCACACAATTTGTTCTTCATCCTCTGTTTGGATACAGATGTAGTGCATCCAAGTGATGGCCCCTCAAGAAATGTACAATTATTAAAAGAGCTGTTCACTTTTCCAATGAATTTGCAGTGGACTAACACTGATGAGAAAACAAAACTAAACAAAGCCTGGCTTTGAGTTAGAAAAAGCATGAAAAACAGTTTTTATTTAATATTCTTATTCCCCCTCTAAGTTTTCTCCTTTGGCAATACAGTTTAAAATCAATTATTCACATAAACCTGTTGGAAATCAACAGTAAAGCCAAGCACATCTATATCATTTCATAATAAGGCATTTAAACAGTCCTTCCAGAGGCAGAATCGACCTCAGAACAGTGGTGCAGATCTCAGGCCCTGGTGATCACAGAAAGCAAAAAAGCAAACATTTCTCAAGTCAACATCTGTGTGAGAGATGGATTTTCCACAGTAGTTTTTAGACTGCCCACATAAATGGTTTTTTGCAAAGAACAGGCCCTCCTGAAAAACTGAACTGTAGATGGAGGCCTTTGTGCCAAAATCCTTGTTAATCCTTTTTCCTTGTAAATATATTGGCAGACAATGCAAGTCCATTAAGACTTAATTTAATTAATCAATTTAAATATTAAATCAATTTAATATTTACAAATCCCAATTTATCTATAAATGCCTTTCCATGTCTTTACCCATTGTTCTGTCATTTGCCTGGTTTTCTGCTCCTTGCATAACATGTCGTGCTGGAATATGGTTTGGTTTGGGAGAACCTGCTGCTCTGGCTTTTTGCAGAGCCTCAACAACAATTTTTATTATTTTAAAAGTGTGTTAAAACACTGTGTTGTCTCAGTTAAGCTTCTGCCTTACCAAAGGAAATCCATTTAGCTTTAACATATTTCCTGCCAAGTGGAAACCCGAATTGTGATTCTGTGGCCTGATTAGGCCTCCTTTGGGGATAGTCCTTGCCTTTCCTTTCCACTTGCTACTGGAACGACAGCAAAATCTGCTGGCCAGCCTCCCCCCTCCCTTTTATCACAGGCAGAATTAACTTGTCCCTCATGTGTTTTGGATTCCAGTCTAAATTTGGACACCAGGAGTTTTGTAGTTGATGTTGACCTTGAAATAGGGCTCGTGGGTGTCTCTGAGCACACCTGGCTGCAGGGTCTGAAAGGCCTTCAGGAGCAGAAGTGTTAACTGCAGCCACCCCCAGCCTGCTTTCCTTCCTTTGTCTCACACAGCAAGTCCCTGCTCCTTTTGTCTAAGAGATCTTTCTGCTCTGGTTTGGATCTGACAAAGCCCAAATCAGAGGTTTGAAACCCCATCAGGGGTGTTTTGGGGGGAATTCAGTTCAAGATTACTTCATCCCTGCCCTGGGCTCCTGTTGCAAGTGCAGAAACTCCACTGAACATTTTGCAGGCTGTGTTTATAAGGCCTGTGTTTATAGGGCACTGTTGGGTAGGCAGGAGAGTGGTTGCCACTCAGGTCATGGGGTTTTTTTAAATAATATTGCTCAGAAGTGGTGAGATAGGCAGCAAAATCCACACAGGGAGCAAGGGAGAGGTGGGAACCACATCTGTGTGCAGCCATGAGTTCTGGTTGTCAGTGTCTGTCCTTTGTGGCTCCAACCAGAAGCTCTTTTCTCCTTCATTTTATCTCTTTTTTCCGTTTTCTCTAACAGCCCATTCATTATCTGTAAAAAAAATAAAATAAAAAAAATATCTTTTTTCCTGCAGTGCTTTGTCTCCTCCTCAAATTCCTGCCACATGTTAGGACTCTTACCCTTTCTGCAGTGAGAGCTGGTGATATCAGAGGCAGAGGACTGTGACCTTTAAGTGTGAAAAAGTCAGAGGAGGAGATAAGTTATAAGAAGGTTCCTGCATGAAATAATACAGTGACAAGGTGTTTTGAGGGACAAAATAACTACTAATGTATAGGTTGTAATTTCACAGCTGATGGAAAACCTCAAGTGATCTCCAAATAAAATGATAAACTAAAAAAAATGGCTTCAAGACCCAAAGATTTATTTTCCTATAGACTAAATAATATACACAAAAATGTACAAAATATACAAAATATATAAAATATATAAAAAATATATACAGAGCCCTGTGCTCTCCCAGTGTACAGAGGGGCCTGAAATGATCCTGAATTAGAAGCAATGATGGTCCTGCAATGTTTGAAAGGCCTGTTCTATGGAAAAGTGAAAATACAGCCACTGAAGGAGAGAGGATGGATAGATAATATAGATAATATAGAGGTGTGTAGATAATATAGAGATAATATATTGTAAATGAGACTGAACTAATTTGTTTAGTTGTTGCACTTTGCCTATGCTAAAAGCAGTGCATTAAATCACTCCAAATTTCACTAACACTGAAGAAACACGTGGACCTGCACATGATCAGGTCTCTAGCGAGCCAGAAGACTAAGACAGTCCTGTGGATAACTTTGGATTTGGAATTCTATCAGCTCTTTTGTAGCTCTTTTGGCTACATCCTCTGTCCAGACTTCAGAGCCAGATTCCTCACGCTGGCAACCTGGATCAAAGGCAGAGGGAATGTTTCAAATTTACATGGGCTTAGGTGGGAGGAAGATCAGAGCAGACTCGTGACATGGCCAGTGATAGGAGACGAGGAAATGGAACGAAGCTGTGCCAGGGAAAGTTCAGTTTGGACATTAGGACAAGGTTCCTCACTGAGAAGATGGTCAGCCCCTAGAACAGCTCCACAGGGAAGTGGTCACAGCACCAAATCTGCCTAGAGTTCACAGAATGGTGCTCTTAGTTAAATTAAAGTTAAAATTAGGGTTAATTTTAGGTGGTCCTGCAGGGAGTTGGAATTAGTGATCCTCTTGGGTCCCTTCCAGCTTGAGGTGTTCCATGATTCTACATTTTAGTAGTCCATCAAAATGGAGCTGTAGCTGAGCAAAGACGAGGTAGTGCTGTCTGATCACCACCAAGGGGAATGGTGTCCCCAAGTTTTGGGAGTTGTTTTAGAAGGTGCAGAGTCAGGAAGCACATCGGTAAGGATTTTGTAATGTCCTCATAACTGTGATGAAGGATGAACTTTGATTTAATCACAAAATCAAAAGGAGGAAGAGTCTCTTGTGTTTAGGGGAGGAAATAGGAAAGAAAAAAATCAGTGTTGAGCTCCTGTGTTTTTACTCAGATTTTGTGGCTAAAGCTCTTTTCAGAATGCCTTGAGGAGAAAATATGGAAATTTTACTGGCTGATCATGTGTATAAGGAGACCCCTTACATGTCTGGGTGAGAACAGAGAAGGTTTTCCAGAAGAGGCAGATTTCATTCTGAATGCTGTGTCTTGGGCTCAGTCCTGGTGTGTTAAAACATAGCTGTTATCTGCAGATGCTGAAAGGAAACTGCTCATTTTTGACAAATTTATGCCATTTAACAGAAACACAAAAATATCTGTGCTGTGCCAAGCCAAAACTCAGTCTTGCCCAGTGTCCCAGTGTCACCTTGAGCCAGGGCAGGGTGGGCAGACAGGAGCAGTGCCCTGTGACATCCCAGCAAACTCTCTGTGCTTGGCAGTCCCTGCAGGATCTTTCATTCATTGCTTTGCACTGTCACATTTTGAAACCACCAAAATACCCCAGAATGTCTAGAGCATCCCCTGGTCCAAGCTCCAAAGCTGCAGCGCACAGACAGTGCAGAATATCTCTTTTTATTTCTATCCCACATGCCATTTGCTGGTTTATTTGACACCTCCCTAGTCCTTGGATCAGAGGAGCCAGAATCTCCTTCTGATTAATTTTTTTCCAGCCCAGTCATGATTTTATACCCCTCTATCACATTCTCCTTCACTTTATCTGCCCCACAGGCAGAAGAGTCCCCTCTATTAAATCCATTCCCACACAAGAGATGTTCCATACGTTTGATCCTGCCTGTCACCCTTCTCTGCAGCAACTCAGCAGCAACTTTTGGGCAAAGGAGAGATGGGAACCTGGTGAAGACTCACCCCACATTTATGGGACAGCACGTTGGTATCTCTCCCAGCAAAGCCTTAAAGTTGTTTTGCTGCTCAAGACCACCCATTCAGCTGACATTTTCTTAGAATACTTGTTTCACCTCCTGGATTTCTTTCCTACAAGAAAGTGGTACACATGGGGCAAATCAATGTCTCTGTGTTTGCTCTAAATACAAAAAGCACATAAATTGCTGATTAAAACCACTGCTGCTCACAGACATCAGGAGTGTGGATGAGAAGAAAGCAAATAACTCCATGTAGACCTTTACTCCAGAGCTGTGTAGGTGGGTACTAGGCATGATGGACCCTGGTTGCTGCCCCCCTGCCAAAAAACTTGGGGCATTTATTGTTATTTTTAGCTTGTTTGATGAGGAGAACTTCCAGAAATAGTGCCTAACTCCAGAGTCTTCTCAGGGTTTTTCTAGTGCAACTACTGCCTGGAATTCAAACTGTAGTGGGAAGCCCCGGTGCCAAACATGTTTCACTACCCTGCAGACTGCAGGATTAAAAAAACCCCAACTTCTCAGAGAAAATGCTTTCCCTTCCCACAGGACACAGGTTACCAGAAACCTCCAGGACTGTCAGCAGTTGGTAGCTGGAGCAGCTGAACTCTTCTCTGAGTTTTTTTGCAAGCTCTGTAAGAATTATTAAATTCTTAAGTTATATAAATAAATCTCTTCCCTATATGTTGCTTGAACTTAATTGAGTGATGAAAACATTCTAAGTTTGTGCTTCTAAAGCATCTTTCACACAAAGATATCAGAAGTGCTTCATAAACATTCACTAATTAAGCCATTAAACCATACAACACCCCACTGAGCCTGAAAGGATTTATAGGGATGTGTACAGTAAGAAGATTAAGTTTTACTCCTAGTAGGTTGGGGTGGGAGGGAGAGGGTTTGGCTGAAAAATTAAAAAAATAAATCCAGAAGCTATTTTTCTATAGAAATGACTTAAACATCTGATACATTGGGATAATGTCAGAAAATCAGAGAGAGGCAGGTTGTGGGTGGGTAGTCTTGGGACCACATCAATGAGCACCACATGGGAGGTTTCTCCACGTTTTCCCTATCCTGCACATGGAAGTAAAGTAGGCACAGCTCGATGTCAATCCCCTCAGCTTTAAAACAGCCCCTACCCACTGGCACTGCACAGTGCCCACGCTTTGAGAAACACAGGTGCCCACACAGAAAGCCTCTGGCACCTTTCCCACATCCATCACATTAAACACATCTGTGCTGGAGAAATACATCAATAAATTTATATGCATTCATAAGCTGATGATGCATATACTCACCCCTGACTTGGGTCTAACAGCCTGGATGAGAGGAGAGGGGAGGATGGGGCTGTCACCTCCTGACTGGCTCCAGGAGGGTGAGCAGCACCCTGGGTCTGGGGAGGGGGCAGATCCCACATTTTCCCACAGGATGCCACAAGAGCAGCAGTGCTGGGTATCAACAGCCACCACCGTGTCAGCAGACCCCACTCAACAGCTCAGCTTGAGCTTTTGGGTTCTCAGCCACTTCGGTATCACCCCATGGCACAAAAGCTGTTGGGTATCACCTCTGCCTGTCATCTGCTCTGAGCCAGGGTGTTGAGGCTGATGGCTGGGGGACTTTGGAAAGTTTTTCAGCTCACAGATAAACAGCAGCAAATGTTCTCAGGACAACACATTCTGGAGCCCCAATCTTATCAGGGCACTTAGGACGCAGCCTGTATACACGTTTCAGGCCAGACACTCAGGGTGCACAAACAGCTACGAAGAGCACGTTGGAGGCTGGCTGCAGGCTTTTCTTCTGCTTCTTTCTTTGTCTTGCCATCCTGCTCTAACAGGGAATGCTCTGCAGGGCTGTCAGAAGAGTGCTGAATAAAGCCAGCTTTGCAGGGATTGATGCCAAGCCTCGTATCGCTGAGTGCTTTTACACCAAAAATGCTCACCCAATTGTCTCACAGAGTGGTGGTAGAGGAAAGCAACTCAGGTCATCCACTCAAATTGTGAGGGGGGAGTGTGACACAGTTTTGAGTCCTGTGCTCCCTGCACACAGATTAAAGGGTGCTTTGCATGGCATTTGGGGAAGGAGTTGTTGCACTGCTGGTGTGCAACCCCCATTCACTTTGCATTGCCCAGACAAGGGTAAATCAGGCTGGCAGTGCAAGTGTGGCCATGGGGCTTCTCTTAGGGTTTGATCCAGCTCTGTCAAAGCAAACTCAAACCTATCTGCACTTGATATTAGCCTCACTCCTTGCTCATTCATGAGTGCTTGTGTAGTTTGTAAAAAAATCATCCCACTGCTGTGACTTGGAGAGCTCAAAAACACCAGAGACAGAAATAAGCTCTTATTAAAAAAAAGAAATATTTCAACAAGCCTCTTCTCATGGCTTTTGTTTGAGTACAGTCAGGGAGTTAAAACTGAAATACAGGCATTGCAATTTGAGGTTGGGAGAATCAATGTGTTTCACACCTACGTGGATGGTGTTACCTAAAACTCCTCCTCCTCCTTCCTGTCTCTGCCTGGAGTCTTTGCTGCTGCTCAGTTCCTGCTGGCAGATCCCTGTGATCTTCCTCCACCAAAACAATCTCCCCCGCTGAATTCCTCACAGCCAAGGGATGTGATGGATGTGAGCCCACGCATCAGCTCCAACTTCACGTTACAGTCAGATGTGAACTCCAGGTGAACTCCCACATATGGTGAGAGAGATGCTGCCTGATGCCAGATTCCTCTTTTCTACACTCTTTTTTGCAGCTTGGACATGACAGGTCTGTTTAATTATGCCCCCACCTCCTCTGCTGGTTCAAGACAGAGCTGTGGTCAAGATCAGACTGAGCAAGGAACATTACTGGCCTTTGACTGCAACCAACCTTAGATATTAAAAGGGGGAAAAATAGAGTCCAAGGCTACTTGTTTGCAAGCAGAAGGGACAAGATTGCGAGGGGTAAAGGGTTCATCTTCCCATTGTTTCTCAAACCTTCTTCTCAGCATTGTTTCCCCTAAAGGCAGCTGTAATTTTTGGTGTCTGTTTGTAACTTTGGTACTGCAAACACTTTCTCTGAGCCTGTTTTGCTGCTGCTCGCAAGCAGTGTTTGCCAAGCTCTTCTTGGGACATCTGTGTGATGTGTAAAGGACTCAGTGGATGAATGAAAGCTGAAAAATGAATGGTCTGAAGAGTGACCAGAACTAAAATACTGCACTTTGGGCTGATTTTAGTGTTATTCTGCTTGATTTGGAGTTGGGTATGATGGCACAGTCCCTCCAGCAGTGCTGTGCTGCTTCTGGGTATCAGAGGTGTTGCTGGGGGTGTGCCTCTGTAACCAGAAAAACAAGCATGAAATAGCATTGATTTTGTTATCAGCCCTTAGTTTAGCTATGATTTTCTATTTTCTTTCCTCCATCACTTATATTATGGCATTTTAAAATTTCCAGGTCCTTTTATCCTAACTGAAACAATCTCCATTGCTAACAGCCACTACAAGCTAAGAATCAGATTCTGCCAAAACTGTTCCTCAGTCCCTAACATGAGGTTAGATATGGGTAGAAAAGAATATAACATAACTCACTTTTCCTTAGACTTGCCTATTTTCTTCACAGCACACCTGTATAAACCTATATTGTCATCTTACATAAATCAGTTTAATCCTGGTGTATTTTTAGCCCTTCTATCTCTTACTTTTTCATACTTCCCTGTCCATCATCTACCCTCTCTCCTGCCTATTGAATGTTTGCAGAAATCCATAAATGCCAGGAAGTCTCCAAAGTCACAAGGGCTCTCTTTTGCCATGGCCAAGGGCTCTTCCAGGGGTCTTGTGGCCCACAGCCTCCTCTGACCAGGGGTGGAAGGGCTATGGGATGTGTCTCAAAGAGATGGGGTTGTTTGGCTTGGAGAAAAGGAGGCTCAGGGGGGACCTAATCCTGCCCTGTAACTCCCTGAAAGAGTTATAGTGAGATGGTTGTGTGTCTCTTCCCTCACCCAGTTAACAAGTGACAGGATGAGAGGAAACAGCCTCAAGTTGCACCAGGGGAGGTTTAGATTACACATTAGGATTTTTTTGTCACAGAAATAATTGTAAAACATTGGTATGGATTCCTCAGGGGAGAGCTGGAGTCACCATCCCTGGAAGTGTTCAAAAATGTGTAGATACAGCAGTTGAGGACATGGTTTAATGGTGAACTTGATGGCTGGAGTTGATGGTCTTAAAGGTCATTTCCTATATTAACATTCTAATATTCTGTGGTTCTAAGAAGTCACTGTTTCCTTTCATCACCAGTGAGATAGATATGCTCTTGCAGTGGGTTTTTCACATAATGTTTTATTGCTTATTTTTGATTTTTATCTTGCCAGGGATTTTGCACCAGGATCAGAGAGCTGAACACCCACACTGAGGCTTTTTTTATAAGGTCACTTGACATCTTCCTTCCAAGCATCTGGTATTATCTTGCATGAGAATGCACTTTAGATAAACATCTGTCTGAGGCTTATCTGGGCTCAGATTGTGTTCACAGACAGCAAGAGAAGAATACAGGGGTTTAAAACTTTTCCTTCTGTTAAAAATCTCTTTAAACTTTACATAATCTGAAAAAGCAGAATGACAAACTTAATTCAACATCCAATGAAGTTGTTTAAAAAAATTTCTTCCTAGGGTATGAGCCGACCTTTTCCCAAATAACAGAATGCCAGTGGCTTCTGTCACAGGCCCTCTTGAAAATGCCAGTTAGGTGTTCTTCTGCCATCTCTCCCCACAACTCCTATAGGAGCAGGTTTTCTCAAGGCCTGAGTGCACTTGTCCTTGCAAAAACCCTGAAGGGAGCAAAGATGAAATCATTCTTACTTGTTGGGAGCTGAGACTAGGAAGGATAAATCTGGAATTTTGAGTCCCCAGTGGATAGCTGGGCAGGTAAAAAACTCTGAGCATGAAGTACACAGGTGTAGACCCTCCTGTTTTTGGACATGAACACATGGACAGGCTGTTTTTGTGGTGAATTGTCACTTGAAGGACAAGGAACAGACTCTGGGTCTGTGACAATGTCTGTGGCTTCTCTAAGAGCACAAGGTGGACAGAGCCAGGGAGACAGTCTTCTGCCAAGGGACCTCATCTGAACTATTGCTCCAGGCTGTCTTTAAGTTAATGGAGAGAAATAGGTGTCTCAGGAGAGTGATCCATCTTCTCCTGCTACAGCTGTCCATGGGGAATTGCTCTCTGAAATTGCCTGTTTCTATTCACTTCCAGTGGAGCTGAGAGATTCTGTCTCTGAGTGAAACATCATTTTAGGAGTGAAAGTCAGAGAGGAGAACTGACCTGGATTCTGCCAGTGAAAAACAACCCCTGGGGCAACCTTTCCCATGGCTTTGCAACACCCAGGACACATCACCCTGCACCTCAAAGCAGCTGGTAAAATGGAGTATTCTAGAAAGTAACTCTATGGCTAAACCAAATCATATTCCACAGAGGAGACACTGAGCAGATCTACAGAAAGTTTACCTGCCTTCCAGAGAGTTTCCTCCTACAATTACACCTTGTTGACAAGTGAAGTGGCAGACTTAGAGGCAAAACTGTCCCATATCAAATATTCTGGGTTTACATTTACATGAATCTCATTCACAAATAAACCACCAAAGGAGAAGAGCCTACATTGCAGTGACATAACCCATGGGCTGTGAGCATCCCTGAAGGCAAGCACTCAGCTATTCAGCCTTAAAAAGAGCAGTAAAGAGAAACAAGATCCATGTGTGAATTCTATAATTCCTTGAAGTTAAGATTTTCCACAATTTCATGAAGGCTTCATTAATTTCATTAAGGACTTTCCAGCAGGAGCTGTAACGAGAGGGTAAAAACTTCCAGATTACAAATACTGGCACAAAGTTTAATAGCAGGATTAAATAACAATAAAAAAAAGCCTCATACTTCATTGAGCACAGTTGCACTCCCTGTTCTGCATCCAGGAACGACCATTACACTGGCAGAACTTATTTCACCCCATTCCTGTTCAGTAGTCCTGTATATCACACAAACACAATCAGAGCAAGAGGTGGCCTCACTCAGTGTGGCTTTACCTGCATAATTGACCCTTCCCTCAGGAAATCCCAGCTGGAGAATGGACAGCTGTGTGCAGCTGCTGCACAGAGCACCAGCTCTTGTCTGGCAGCACCTGCAAGAGAGGTGGCACAGGGGCAACTGCAGATGAGCTGCTGGGTCAGTCTGTGCCACCCACACCCTGCTGAGAGCAGGCTGTCCAGGCACCAAGGACATCTCTGGGCTGGAAAGGCTCATTCTCCCTGACCCATGGGAGAGAGGTGCAGGGCAGCTGGGAGCTGGGGGCACATCTCTCGGGCTGGAGAAGGGAGGATGTTGTTATAGATACATATTGTATTGGCTTTTTGCAAATATTAAAATGAATGTTATATGTATAAGGTTAGAAAACTTTGTTATATTAATATAGTTCCTTCTATTTCTGCTATTGATGAAATTTAGAAATAGTAGTATAATATACATATATGTTGAGCTGTGGCATAGTATTAAAACAGAAACTACTTTTGTTTGTATAACCCAAAGACT